TATATATATATATATATATATATACTTCCCCGCGTTGCACCCGTAATTTGTGCGGCGACGCCATTGGCGAATGCCTCCCCTTTCAACCAAAGGTTTTCCCGCACTCTAGATATCGATAGGTTGCTACACGAGAGATAATTAAGAGGAAAAAGTAACTGTTGTTGCGATGGGCACGCGAGATTACTTATCTCTACTCGTGTTACAAGTCAGATAACGAACGTAATAACAACAAGCATCTCGAATGCAAATTGCATTGCGGGATGCTTTCCGTTGTGCTTTCGTTAATGTTAAAAAAGAAATTGGAGTTCATTCCAAAGAGAAATGATACGTAAGACACGATGAAGGATTAACTCTAGAATGATTAAAAGACGAGAGAGATATAATACTTTGCGTTCATTATTATTAAAATAAAAATCGAAAAACGCTAAACGATAATCTTTCTGCCGTAAGTAAATTTTTTTACGAACTTACGATAGCTCCTGCTGATACTTGTCTGAAAGTAATCCCGCACTGAGAAAAATGTGCAGTTAAAAATGAACCAGAAGATTCCGATCATATTAATCACAATTGGAATGACGATAAATTCAATCATCGTAAAATTCTGATCCGTCCATTTCCGCTCAGAGAGCTCGAATTGATGCAACTAAACACTCTTTTTACCAGTGCAAGGTTAAAAAGGAGGTATCGCCGCCTGCAATTTCGCATCTGCGAAATCTCCAGCGAGCAAGTGTCTAATTACGCGGAGAGCCGGAAATCGGGGCTTACCTGTTCGCTTTCGAAAGTCGCGCAAGCGCCTGGCTCGGTCTCGATCGGGTCCTGGTTGACTTTCGCTCGGATCTGAAAAAGGTCATAAAACAGAGAGGCAGGTTTTTAGCGAGTTTCGGCCGTTCGGTTAGTTAAGGGGGCCACGCTCGTCTCAGCGGCTATTTCGGGAGCGGAACGCGCCGCCTTGCCATCCGCCTTGCCGTCCGTCAGTCGCGCGCGGAGAGTCGCTATTTCCCGTGCAAGCGGCCGAAAGCAGCAAAAGCGCGCGGGACGTGCCTAAGATTAGCGCGGGGCGATAATACCTCAAGGTCCGGCTTGTTAGGTCCGTCTTACGAAATACCAAAAAATCGCCGCGCGCGTCTGTTTACATCCTTGGCTCCGGCCGGCGCGTGCTTATGTCATCATCATGTGCGCGAGCTTGGCACGCGCGACGACGATGACGACGACGACGACGAAGATGACTCCGACCGCCCGTCTTTGCAGACTTTCCGCGTCTCTCCGAGTCAGGGACGTTGCTGCCAGCGGATTTAAATCCATCGGACAATCGGGACACTAGCGTTCTCTCTCATTTCTGATTTCCAGCGATATGCAAAATATCCTATTCGCGTTGCGTATAAATGCTCTGCATTTTCACTCGCGTCAAAGTTTCAAAGTCATTCGATTCGAACAGGTTGATGACAAAAGGTATAAATACGTTGTGTACGAAATTTGGAGAGCGAAAAAACAATAATGGGAAAATATAGATAATAATTTATATTAACTTTTTAATATAGAGAGAGACGCTATCTCTCAAAATTAAATTCTATTTTAATCCTTAAAAATCGCGCAAATGCGCATATTGGCGATTCTTCCTCCCAAGTGGAAATTCTCGATGCGATTCCAAAGTTACGCGTGACATCTCATTCTCTTCCTGACCCATTCTTTTTCTGCACGTTACGTGAAAATTGGCCGTTACGAAACGACCGAAAGCGACTTCGTTTTCACTGGCTCGAAAAGAGAAAACTAGTCCTCCGTCGTCTCAAAAACAGATCCGCTGGTCCCGTTACTCGCCAATGTCGATTAACACTGTCGAGTCGATTATATCGATCGAAATGTTATTCTTTTGCTGTAGTTATTTCTACTATATGACATGTTTATCTTGCTAATAGCGTCAATTCGCAATCAGTTTCGAAAATATAATGTTATAAATAGTATATAAAAAGAATAATATTTCAAGGAAAGAACATTTCAAAATTCGATATACAAACAATTTGAAATAACTTGTGACGTTCTC